TTCCCGAGCGTACCGGATCTACCAAAGCCGTGATTCCTCCACATGTAATATCATCTCACAAATGGTTGTTAAACTTGGATCGTGTTGCGATCCACAGTGGCGGAAAGGACCGGTTCGGTGCCGACAATACGGATATACACACGGGTAGTCGCGAGAAGACGTTTACAAGAAAATAGCTAACAAAGCAAATATCACTTCTATATTTTTAAAGTAAAACCTCTGTCTAACAGGTAATGGGTCCAATGGATCATACTGTCGTCGCGGACGAAGTCCAAGGCAAGCGAAAAGCAGAGCCTAGCGGCGAAATGGCAGGCAGCCAGGACGGCGATGATGATGAGATCAAGAAGGCGGTCGAAGAGCCGAAGGGAACGCAGGACAAGCTACTGGGCCTACTCAAGGACCTCGCAGAGCGCATGGGGTGCCTAGAGGAGTCACAGGAGCAGCAAGAGGAGAAAGAGCGCCAGGGACGCGAGAGCAGCGTTTTGGGGTCGTCTCTGGGCCTGGGAAGAGCCATGAATAGGCAGGCCCTAGACCAGACGCGGCCATGGCGCACGTCGCCTGCCGTCTCACCGGCCACGTACTTTGGCATTAAGCAATGTGAGTACCGGGATGACGCAGGTGCTGCCGGCACTACATGTCGCATCAAGTGTATCAGGCACCGCTGCCGCCACCGGGACTGGGATTCGTAAGGGTACCCGACATCAGGCAGCGGAGGCTTTAGATCCGGTCGTTTGACGGGAAGGAGCGGTATCATGGGCTGGGGAGCGATTTCCTGGCCTGGGGCAAGCGCTTCGTACGCCAGATACAATTCGCCGAACGTGCTAGTGGACCGAGGACGTCAAGGTCAACATCCTCGGTCACCATCTCAGCGGCATGTCAGAGAGATACTACAGCCAGCAGGTTGAAGACTGATGGGAGGAACATCCGGCACTGGAGTATGCGATGCAGCGAATGTTGCACACCTTCGCCACGAAAACCACGCCTGTGCAGAGCCTGATGATGTTTACGGCGCCGAAAAGCTCCAAGAGGAGTCGGATTTAGCCCTACGTACACCTCGTGGCGGTAAGCGAGGCGTGTGGAGGTGCAGATAATCTGGTCTTGGACAACATCGTGCACTACGCGGATCCGAACATGCGAGTGTCGATGCTGTCCAGGCTTAACTTGGCACGCACGGACTATCTGCGACAAGCTGAGGATCTGGCGTACTTCGCCCAGTCAACGAAGATGGAGCGGCGGAACAAGAAGCTGGGGCGCTACGTAGTAAACGATGTGCACGAGGGCGAAAGGATGACCGCAAGTGTTAGATGTGTCGTATGACCAGTTACTTGCGGGTGACCTGTCCGAAGAAGACGAAGTGGGACGAAGGCGCAGACGTCGACTTCGTGCTCACGGTCGAGGAGACGGACACGGAGAACTGGATGCTGGACAGTGGATATAGCCGTCATCTGGTGAACGATCCGGAGCTGTTGGAAGACGCGGGGGTCTACGAGAGTCAATGCGTGGCAGCGGACGGAGGAGCGCTTAGTGAAACTAAGCTCGAGAGCGTGATGCTCGTGACCACGGCGTAAGGAAGGATGTCCAAGGTGTGGCTGCTGAACTTGCATTACGCGAAAAACCTGGGGCGGACCATAATATCGAACGGGTTGTTGGAGGCGAAGGGGTACGGGCTTGCGTACCGGGGGAAGCACCGCGTCGTAGCCATTGTCAGCGGCCGGCCGGCGGTGTTTGACGTCGAGAAGAAGAACAATGTCCCCACCGTGCGTGCAATGGGGTCTATTGGCACAAAACGGTCAGGCGACGTGTTGAATTACGTGTTTGTGAAGAACGAGACGGAGGGCGGCAAGGACGTGCAGACTGGGTAGCTTATGCACTTCCACCGTAGATTAGGGCATCTCAATCACGACACGATCATCAAGATGGTCAAGGCCCCGGCGTTTGGGATCGCATCTGCGGATGAGGTGAGGGCGATCTACTTGTTGTGTGCTTAAGGCCAGCAGACCAATAAGAAGCAGCCGCGCAAGGACACCGGGGCCAACTCGCCGATTGACGTGATCGGGGGGGGGCATCTGCTCCGATCTGAAGGGGCTGATGACTCCGAGAGACCGACTAGAGAACCGGCATAAGATCAACTTTGTTGACCATCTCACTCACTACTGCAGAATCTTCTTAGCGAAGCTCAAGGACGTCGCGGCGCAGAAGTTTAAGCAATTTATGGCTTTCTTTGTGCGGCAATTCAATCACCGTATACACGTGTTGAGAACGGACGGTGGGGGGAACACCAGACCCTGAATCTCTTCTGCAAGGAGACCGGGATCATCAGGCGGCAGGTCAGCGAGCCGCAAAACTAAGCTAGTAACGGCAAGGCGGAAAGGATGCATCGCACCGTATGGACATGGGGCGGAGCATGGTTTTTGCCTGTGGGCTTCCTTCTAGTATGCTGCGGTGTATGCTCCTACATTCTAAACAGGAGCACGACGAAGGCACACTCGGGGTCGAAGTCGCCACTGCAGATGCTCACGAAGAGCACACCGAACTTGAGCGACATCGCGGAGTTCGGGTCACCCTGTACGGGCATGTGAGCGCTAAGAATAAATCCTTGGGTGAGCGGGCAAGCCGGGCATGATCGTAGGAAAGAGCGACGAAATTAAAGCACAGCTCCTCGAGATCTACTTGGAAATTCCGCAGGGAATGGTGATCAGTGAGGAGGTGCTGCGCAGGTTCAGGGTGAGTGCCAAGGATAAACTGGCGCGGCGCCTGAGGAAGTCGCTGTACGGTTCACGTCAAGAAGACAAGATAGCACATGCTCGCTAAGCTGGAGGGTGGGTTTCACGCGGTGCGTGAAGGACATGTGCTTGTACTACAAGCGAGAAGGCGGCGAGATGACGCTAGTGGGTGTGTACGTGGATGATCTCGTGGCCACCGCGTCCAAGCCGAGTCTGGCTGACGACTTCTGCCGCTCCATGAGCGTTTTCAGTGAAGGGCGTGGGCGAGATGAGAAATTTCTTGGGGATGCGCGTGGAGCTGGACGGCAGCGAGGGGGGGTACACGCTGGGCCAGCAGGCGACGATGGAGGAGATGTTTGAGCAGCATGGGCTGGCGAACGCAAGCAGTGTGCGGGTTCCGGTTCGTGAAGAGAGCAACGAGGCGGAGTTCGACGAGCCGTAGTTGCTGACCAAGGTGGGCGCAGCGAATGAGCCGACTATCTGCAGTTTCCAGTCGCTCGTGGGAGGCTTGCTTTGGATCGCGCGCTGCACGAGGCCCAACATTAGTTTCGCGGTGCACAAGGTCACGAGAAGGACGCATCAACCGACCTTAAACGACTGGAAGTTGGCGAAGAGAGTCGCAATGTACATGAAGGGCTCGAAGAGCGTCAATATCGTCATGCAGGCGCCGACGAGGAAGGACGACGTAATGGCCATAGAGAGCAGAGGTGACGCGGACTTTTCCGCCGACAAGAGCGACACGACGTCCGTGGCCGGAGGAGTCGTGACGATGGACGGGGCTGTGGTGCAGCGGATCTACAAGAAACAGACCGGCGTGACGCTTTCCACGATGGAGGCCGAGCTCGGCGTCGCACGTCGGGCGTGAGCTGAGGTTCCACGTGGTGGAGCCGGTGCCCATGAAGATGGACAACCAGGCGGCGATGAAGCAGCTGGAATCCGAAGAGAGCACGTCGAGTGCAAAGCACGCGGACATCCGCGTGAAGTTCATCTGCGACTTTGCCAGGAAAGGGATAGTAAAGCCCGAGTATGTTGAGTCGCGCCTGACGGTGGCGGATCTTTTCACGAATGCGTGACCGGCACCAAGGATCGCTAAGCCGCGGGAGATCTCCAAGTTGAAGTGATGAGTGCTACCGAGAGTGCGACGACCGAGGAGGAGTGTTTCCAAATGGGCCGTGTTGCGATCCACAGTGGTGGAAAGGACCGGTTCGGCCGCCGACTATATGGATACACAGGCAAAGTGGCTTGGGTGGTCGCCAGAAGACGTTTACAGGAAGATAAATAGCAAAGCAAAAATCGCTTCTACATTTTCACATGTCTAGCAATGGTATCGCTGTGGGTTAGCCAACCCCATGCGAACGCAACGTGTTCCCTCTGAATTGGAGCTTCGGTCCGAGGAAGCGCAACGAGATCCGGAATATATTCGAAGTTTGAACGAAGAGAAAACTTTGATAGGCGTCCCAGCGGACCCAGCGGACGCAAACCGCAGAATTTTAACTGTTATTAGCGGGTTTTAGCGCATGTTTCCGTATGCTAGTGGTCCACTTAAAAATTGCTCTGGGTATGACTAACGAATTTATTCAGTAACTTACTCTAACAGTGGACGCGCCTAAAACTGCTATAAGGGCCGATATGTCAAGTCCTCCGCCCTTCCGGAGATACGTAAATCCGGTCTCAATAAAGCTGCCAGCTGTGCACCCTTTCGGTAACTACACAAATTATATCTTAGATTTTGTAAGGAAAGGTACCTTGTGCCAATCACCGTCCCTCCCTCGCATTTTCTTTGACATACATCATAAATCATCGCCATTTTGCAAATGACTCCCCCTTACCGTATGACTTATGTGTCCGGACAGTTCATATTTATCATGGACTATTTCTAACCAATCAGCAATCAGAGTACACAAATACTAGTTTTCGATTGGTAGTTCTTAGCTGTCCGTGAATAACGTCCGTTTGCTTTTACGATAATGCTGTTGTATTATATTTTATTATTGCCAAATGTTTGTAGTAGGCGCACAATAAAAATAGGGATTTTAATGAAAATAAATGGGGGCAAGCTAAAATTAGTTATTTTAATGACCCATTTTCCCTTTTAAAATGAAAAGTTCTCACAATATCAGTGATTTAAAATTAAATTTGATTTAAAATCGTTTCTAGCATCTGAATGTGCGTAGTGCTGAAAATGTGAGTGTAAGCAAGTCAAAATGAAATTTTCAATATAACAACGGTACAATTGTGTCTACGCGTGCAGCAACTGGGTTGTAACTGCAGTCACCACTACTTGGAGTAGACAGGCACGTACTCGACCACGCCCTGCTTGTTGACAATGGTCTTCTTAATGTTGCGCAGCTGCTTCTTGCTCATGGTCTTGAGTCTGTGCGTGCGTGAAATGACTTGCACAGCAGCTGACTTCAGCTCATTCTCCTTCCGACGCTTTTCCTTATCCTCACGCGCCTGGCGCTTGGCATCCTTCTCTGCTTGTCGTCGTGCCTTAATCTCCGCCTGCAGCTCCTTCAGCTCTTTAAGCTTAGCGCGCTTGAGCATTTTCTCCTCCCACGTTGTGCTCAACACCTTGGTGCCCTTCAAGCCCTGCGCCGAAAAGCGCGTCTTCTGCACCTTCTTCCACACACGCCCGCTCACGGGGCGGCCGCGCGGTGGCTCGGTGGCCTTCGTGTTGCTAAGCTTGGTCGTGGTGGTGGTGGACGTCATGCTTCCTGCTTTAAATTGACTACTGTATTGAGTGGAGTGCACCAATTGGTCTTCAGGAAACAATGAGAGGCACACAATGTCGCTTGAATGTAGCAAGCATTTAACATTACAGTACTGCACCCCGTTTCGCAGGGGTGAATCCTATAGGATTTGCAAATAAATCAGACTCTTGCATACAAGCAATAGTTTATTTGGATTCAGGATCATCACATCCGGAAGTTTATCAAAGGCCCAAGGGCGCGAAAACGGGGTGCAGTACTGTACGGTATTTTAAAACGTGAAATGATCAAAATCAAAATAGCTGCGAGCGAAATAACTCGAGTCTAGAAAAGTGTAGGTCGATTAACTTCGCAATAATGGGCAAGACAGACGACAAGCGCGGCGCCTCGACCACTGAGGCGGCGCTCGCTGGCGCCGTGTCTGGAGGTGCGTCAACTTGTGACCATTTCTGGCGGTCTGATACATTTCTTAACATCTTTGAATGGTGATTTTGCACCAGGAGCGACGCGACTGGTTGCTGCGCCGCTGGACCTCCTCAAGATTCGCTTTCAGGTGCAGACTGCTCCCAGCGGACATATCGAAGCCAAATACGCGGGCTTGCTTCAGGCCGTTCGTAGCATTTATGCGGAAGAAGGACTGCGTAGCTTCTGGCGTGGAAATCTAGCGGCCTCGGGGCTCTGGGTGGGCTACTCGGCGCTCCAGTTTGCCAGCTACCGCGAGTTAACCCGCTGCTGGGAACAAAGTGGGAGCAGTAATGCGCTGGGTATTCCAGCATCGGTGGTCGCTGCTTTGAATGGCGCAACCGCAGGTGCCACTGCAACCATCGTCACGTACCCGTTGGATCTCTTCCGAACAGCGTTTGCCAGTCAAGGAATGCCCAAGCGGTTTCCGACGATGCGCAGCTTGGTGGTCCACACCTGGACAACACAAGGAGTTCGCGGCTTTTACAGTGGACTGGGCGCTACCGTCTTCCAGATCGTACCGTACATGGGACTGAGCTTTAGTATCTATGCAGCGTTAAGTGAGATAGCGAAGAAGCATCGCAACAAGCAGGAGGAAGGTAGAACAGGCGCATGGATGCCGCTGACGACAGTGCTCTCGTATGCTGGAAGCGGTGCTGTGGCTGGTTTGGTGTCAAAGCTGGCGGTGTATCCGCTGGATACAGTGAAGAAGCGTATGCAGATGCGTCACGTGCCGCGCTGCACAACGTACGGAGTTATCCCAATGTACTCGTCAAGCTGGTCGTGCTTTGTCGACGTGTTGCAACGTGAAGGTATTCGCGGACTGTATAAGGGCACCGTGCCTAGTCTACTGAAGTCCGTTGTCGCAGCCAGCACAACTTTCGCGACGTACGAACTTACTTTAGAGGTTTTGCGGCATGTATCGCCTCGCGAAGATTGCGAGGAATGGACAGAGTTACAGGCTGTCAAAGAAGAATGAGGGAAGCAAACACTGTACACTGTACATTATTGTCTGGGGGAACACCAGTAGATGACCGTAAGATATTGTACCTCCTTGCTGCGGATTATAGAAAAAGGAAATACTTAAGTTGTAGATTTTGTACTACTGTACTTCAGAAATACTTCTATGTAGAGCAAGTTGAGGTTTCTTGTCACGATGTTTCTGGGTCTGGCCTGCCTTTCATTTCGTGGTCGGTCACATGACTTGCAGCGAAATTCAATCATTATCATCAATCCAAAGCACAAATATGTTGCTTCATTAATTAAATATTGCATCCGAGCAGCAATGCAAGGCAAAGAAATAGCATAAACCGGAGTGCGGTCAGGATGTGGACATGGGCGAAGTGGAGGAGGCAGGCGACGGTGGAGCCACGGAGGCTGTGCTTACGGTAGTGACGGACAGCGCGGGGCCTGATCCTTGGTGATTCTGATAGAAATCTTCTAGCAAATGTAATCGCTGAGCGTCGCCCACAAGCCGCTCCATAGACATCTGAATCGCAAGTAGAAGCTGTTAACAATAGTTTGTACCAACATTCACATACAGAGAGAGAGAGGCGACTTACGGTCTTGACGTCGTCCAGCACGAATCGGCGAATGGCCTCTGTGTCGCTCAGGTTAAATACCGCTACCTCACCGGATGATGTTGGTGCAACTATCTTGTTGGCGCGGAGACTACTACTATTACTTCGGCTGAGGCTGCTGCGACTAGTATCCATCGAATTCTTCCGGGACAGCGAATGTCGAGGCGACTCCGTCTTATGAGTTGATCCACTCAATAAGCCTGAGCGGTTGCGATGGTGCTCAACTGTCTGGATGTTGCGGGCTACGAAATCTATGGAGTGTGACCGCGAGCGGGAGTCTTGAACGGTCGGAATGGCTGAAGTTCCCCCAACAACTTTACGCTGAAAGTTCCAGAGGTGGTTTGGCCGACTGGACGTGTTTGCTTTTTCTCCATTAATACATGCATGAGATGAAGATGTGCGCTGCATCTTGTGGCGGTTGGCATGACGAGATCGCTCCGAGTCAATATTTGGAGCAGTGAGGCAAGAAGGTACTGGAAGCGACCGACTGAAGTCAGCACGTTGCGGCTCGGAGGCTGAGCTTTGCTGCAATTGTTGCTGCTGTTGCTCGAATCGACGACGAGAGTCGGCTGCGGTGGAGTCATCGTTGTGCTGGAACGCGAGTTCCAGCTGGTTAACGCGATCTTGCAATGCCTCTTTCCAGTTCTCCTCCTCATCGTCGTCGTCCGCCCATTCTTCCATCGACTTGCGTTGCTGCAAAAAAGAACACCGTCAAAAATACAATTAAGTCAATGCAAGGCGAAATGTTGCTCCACAACACGAATCCTCACCGCAAATTGTAGCCCAGGCATGTCATTGTTGTCCTTTGCGGTTGCATCGCCATCCAGTGGCACTTCATCACTCCACATGGCGTCGTCGTCGTCGTCGTCGTCCATGGCCAGGACAGCAGCGCCAGCACCTAAGCCACCAGCGACAGATGCACTTCCGTCGCTGTGCTCCAGCTTCAGTACGTCTTCAGGTTGCTGCCTTTGGTCGCCGAAGATGGAGCGAAATGTGCGATTGGCGCCAGCTTCTCCAGTCATAGCGATGTCTGCCATCCAACGGCGGGAAACGCGGGGGAGAGCTTTCCCCCTCTCTCTTCTTCTTGGGCGAAAGACAATCAGCGGAGATGAGAGAAAGGAATGCGCCGGTTTAGAAGCGCTGCATGCCTGTCGGGCCCTGCGTCCGTCCGTCTGTCTGCTTGATGGTCTGTGGCGATGCAGCGCGAGGCTCGCTTTTCTCGGAGTCTTCGGTGAAAATGGCCCGGACGCAACGGCCCCCTGTGAAAATGAACGTTTTGGCCAATAGAAAGTGCTTAAGAAATTTATAATGGACGAATCATCGAGCAGCTTGTGGTCTTTCGACATACGAATTTAAGGGCTTATTTTTGACCCAGCTAAGGTATTAAATCGAGCAGCGAAATACATAATTTGAAGGGTTGGAGTATTTCGTGTGGTTGCGCGCATCGAGCTTCGTGGTGAGCCCTTGTGGTAATGCAAACAGAGCTTTTTAACAAAGCTCTCGGCGTGAAGCGTGTCCTACCCAAGATTGCATGTAGCTGGTGTAGTGCAACTTGCACACTCACACACTTCATGACAAAATTCATCGTCTGTGTCCGACATAGAGGAAAGTTCTGCTTCAACTGGACACAAAATGGCTGGCTACTATCGTTCGAGTGGTCAGGATGGGCTAAGAAGCTCCTTTAGCACGAGGTAGACTTGCCATTGTAGGCACCACCCATACATGTTTGAAAGTCTCGGTGACAACATCACGCGCCCTTTTCAAATCTGCGCGCTGCAGCCACCTGACAGCCATCCGTCACGGATTCCTTGGCAGTTGGTAATGGCTGTGGCTCGATGTGTTGTTCACGTGACAGTAGGTATAGAGTAGAGAAACTTGAATAACAGCCTTGCGCGCAGTACGTTTACGCTGTCAGTCTCTCCTCTACAGCTCATGTCAAGTCAGGCCTGCCCACGCGATGATGCCCTATTATTGTTCATTTGTGTAGTACATGTACGTGGTGAGATGCATGCTCGCAGCACATCTTAATGCTTGCTTCGCTCCTGTAGATTAGTGTGACACAAGTTCAATTGCTTCAGTTTCCATTTGAGTGGTGCACACCATGCTGGAAAAAGATCGGGCCGAGCATGAGGAGACGCATAACCAACCGCTCAGTTTGCTCGGCCGAGGTCCCCAGCTTAGTAGCTGAAGCAAGTTTACCACGCTAGCCACTCGCCTTTCGCACGCCGAGACGCAATAGTGGAGACCGAGAGAGCATGTCCCGCCAAAGATACACTCCTGACGATGTCCTCGAGCTCGAAGCACCCACGGAGGGTATGTGGCTCACTGTTCTACCGAAGAGTGCTGTCTGTATTCGTGCTAACTGTATCGCATTATCGTTACCCTGCTTGTGTAGCCTTCCTGTGTCCGCTGAGTGCCAACAAATATGGCATTGAGTTCTTGCACTTCTCCATTTCGGACTTCGAGTCCAAGCGCAAGATTTTCGAAATCGGTAAGGACCGACCAGGCAAGGCTGTACCTAAGATGGATATCTCGCATGCGCGCGGAGAGGGCGCGTACCGCACCATTCGCTACGAATTCTCTGAGGACGTGCTACGACTGCCGGCGATCGCCACGGAGCTCGAGTTCTCTGTTGGCCCACACGAGGTGCATAACCTGCGCATGATCGAGCGCCACTATTTCCGCGACGAGATCGTTAAGAGCTACGACTTTAACTTTGGTTTCTGCATTCCGTCGAGTGTGAACACGTGGGAGGCCATCTATGCCATGCCTCCACTGGACGACGAACTGATCAGCGACATGGTGGGTCAGCCCTACGCCACGGTCTCCGACAGCTTCTACTGTGTAGGAGACGTATCTAATACATGCACAACAAGGCCCGAGTACAAATACATTCCAGAGGACAGAGCGCAGGCAAAGAAGTCTTACTATAACAGCGACGACGAGGACGACGCCAAAAGCGGCGCCAAGGGGGGACCCAGTCGTGCTGACGACAAGGGATCCGGCGCTAAGGGATCAGGAGGCGCCAAGTGGTCCAAGGAGGACGATTACGACTAACTTATATCGCTGTAATCTCCTCACTTTAGCGCTTGCTTCCCTCGACGATATTGCAAGCAAACACACCAACGTTTAAGTGCCAGGAGTTTACGATATCAATGCCTGAGAAAGCAACGAGTTGCATTGATCTTGACCAAATCTTTCACCGACCAAATAAACACGATGCATGTATTAGCAAGCGAGCTGCTAGCCCTAAGCAGGTACGTAGCTTCTTAAGCAAGCAGGCACTCCAAGCTGCTGCTATGATTGTGTTTCATTTTGTAGCAAATGTAACAAGTAGGTGGCACCAGCCATAAATCGGCTTCCCGCCAAAAATACAGTGGGTCACTTGCCATGAAGCGAGGGGCTGAGGCACTAGACGAAGAAGACGCAACCGCGCGAGGCAACCGTGCGAGCAATCACAGCTATAAGCAGCCAAACCACAAGCGTATGCGGCAAGGAGATCGGGACCGCTCTCACAATGGCAAAGACGTGAGTGGCAGGGACAATTCTGACGGGAAAGGTCCCATAGTGAAGACTTTGGCAGACGAAAAGGAGACGGATCCCCATCGATTGGCGCAGCGCCAAAAGCAGATCGACTATGGTAAAAATACGATCGGCTATGACCACTACTGTGCGCAAGTGCCGAGGCACCAGCGACGACCAGGCAAACACCCGATGACTCCTGACAAGACCAGGCGTATCGGCAAGAAGGTTTTCGATGGGATGGTGCGCAGATGGCGCCAGATGCTGCACAAGTACGACCCGCCCGAGTTGGCAGAGGTCATTGGGACAGGAAAGGCTGAAAATGCTGGTGCAACGGATGCGAAGGTGGATGAAGGAGATGCGACGACGTGTAGCTCGGCAAGTACGGCAACATCAGCTGAGCCAGAAATGGCGAAAGAGGCGGTGGCGCCTCTTCCAAGTCGCTCCATCTACGAGAACTTCGACGATGACAATTTTGACGAAGAGGCCGAATCCGACGACGATCTGCTGTAGAGCAATAGAGATGGTCTAGGTATGCAGCTAAGTTTGAACTGCGCGATGACATGCAAGCTGTCTGTTTATTACTGAGATTGACTTGAGTTATCCCCGAGATGCCAGAAACTGCCGTCGCATTGCCAGCGTCTCAATGAACAGGTCAATATCTAAGCTGTCAACGTTGCGAGCCACTCGAGCCACCAATCGAACCTCCACGGGTCCACCCTGCCAAAAAAGAAAACACACACACCCATAATTATCAGCACAATAGCATAGCCACCGTCATGTTTTGCCGTCAAGTAAGTACCTGCTTGCATGCGTAGGTCTCACCCAGGAACTGGTACATGGAGCCAAGTTGCAACCGCAAGTTCTCGAGCGCCAGTCGATGCGTCTCCACCGTCATCGAGACATCCTGGAACGAGACTCGCGCCACTTTACGCTGTGCATCGTAAGTCTCCAGTTTCCCCGTGATTCTTACCGAGCGGTTCTGAAGCTGGGGATCCACCAGCACCTCAGCGATCTGGCAGATTTCTGCAGTCGTGGCTGGTGCCAGTTGTCGAGCATTCGTTCCAAGCATGAGTTTTTTTTAAGAAACAGGTATTTTACTGTTGAAGGCAAATGATTCTTTGTTAGACAAAGGTCAGACACGTGATTTTTGCATTACATTTGATAGGTTGATGAGATTTTGCTTGATAGGTTGGTGACATTCGGGAAAGCTGACCGAGAAGCCAAGCGCTGTGCTCAGGGCGGACTTCCGGGCGAGGGTGGCAGACAATGAAACAAAGGTGGAAGGCGTGGTCATCATCCCTCCAAGCAGGTATGCTCTAACTCACACCGAGCTTAATGTCACTACAGGCCTGAAGACAATTTTGCACTGCGCAGTAGAGCTGTGGGTGCACCACCTAGGGAGCGGGAAGGAGGTTATGCTGCTTATGCTGCTTAGAATGGCGAAGGCATGAGGTCGTGAGCTGTGACAACGACGTGTGTCTGTGAAGCCTGACTGGCAAAGGCGACGAGGCGGTGGTATGCTGACACAGCGATGTGAGTGTCACATGCCGCGAAGGTAGTTTGTACCAGGGAACCCGAAAAAATAATATGCGTAAAAAATAATCCTAATTTTTTAATTTAATTATTAATTTATGGCTGTCCACAACGGGAACAACCCCAATTTTGAGTAAGGTCTAGTCAAGTTACAGCGTGGGGGTGCGCTGAACGTCGCGGAAAAATTAGCCTGCGCTGAATTTAGGTCGCCTGATCTCGAACGGTCGTCTTCAAGAGCCGCCGAGAGCGTTCTATTGTGAGAGCGGCGTTCAAGAAACGCAATTGCGCTACGTCGACGTCGCGTACATCCCGCCAACGTCCAACGAGTGTGAGCGCTTCTTCTCTCTCGCTAAGCTGGTGCTGTCTGATCTACGGAAGCGAATGTCTCCAGCCAGGCTCGAGATGATAATGTTTCTGAACTACAATCGTGACTTGCGAAGTTGTGCAAATAATTAAATTATTAATTTTCTCAGTTCACATCGATGTATTAATTTAAGTATTGCATTTTCGGGTTCCCTGGTTTGTACACCTGCTCGCCACCGATGACTGAATGGCTTGTGGTTTTCGTCTTTAACTAGTCTCGCTAACTAGCTGTTGTGTTGGCTTTCTTTCTCACGAGCTTTCCTACCGTTGCCCAACCTAGCTGCCCGCGGCGTCGTTTCCGGGAGTTCTCGGTCGTCGCATCGACCGCAACCCTGCCAGCACAGTCGGCTAACACTTTCATCGCGTCATCAATAGATGGGGAGGCTCGGAGTAGGTTTTTAGATGCTGCATCGTTTTCGATCTTGAGCATGCGATAACGTAGCTGACTAAGCCGTTTTTAGCATTTTTCTACAAGGCATATCTCGGCCATCAAGAACACGAAGTGGTGGCACATTCTTGGCCTTATTTCCGCACATTCAAAGCACCCATATATGACGTACGGAGCAGTCGGGAACAATAAAATCAGCAGGAACACGGCGAAACTTTCCACCCCAAAAGAAACACGGCTGCTGCTCATTGCCGTCGACTACGACTTCGGTTTCCGTTGTGCCCTGCGGTTGAGAACCAGTCAACTGACGTACCAAGCTGTTCACACCCGCATCCTGGAGGCACGTTTTGATTGCAGCGTGAAGACCGTCATACGTCACGGTGCCCGCACCAATAGCTCTCTTTTCCAGCTCGGAAATAATATCGTGGACCGTGTCGACTCGGGTTGCTTCGATTTTGGTCAGTGAGTCAACTAATGCATCCTTCAGCCACTTCATTTCACAGAGTATCGATACATGAGGAGGAACACCGGTGGGGCGTATGCGTGATTCAGTACAACCATCCCCTGTTCTAACTCGTGAAAATAGATTCGAAAGCCGGCGCTCGTCCTGGAAAATTGGAATCTCAAAGATGTGGTGCTTCGGCGATAGTGTTGCCTTCAGAAAGGCTAAATGATAAACTAGAGAAGCCAAGCAATACTCTGCAATAAACTGGAGGCGGTTTGGCAAACCTGGAAACATCAATCGCACACCATTTTTAACACAATCGTCACGTGTTTCGAAGTGCGGCGCTAAAGCTGAAAATCGGTAGCTCTCGGTAGGCAAACCAGCTACAGTTCGACCAACATGCATGTCACCAGCAGCCTCGTATCTCAAATAAGTATTCTGTACCCCACCAAGTGACCAACCAGCACGCAAATGAACTGCCGTCGACGATGGGCATGCTGTTGAGCCCGACGAGCAGAATGTTGCTGCGCCCTTCCGCATTGAGTGAGTACCTAGCTCGGTGGAATCCAGGCCCTGGCGCTGTAATTCGGCTGACACATCGTCTTGATCTAATAACCGGATCCAGCACTTGCGGAATCTCTCGTACTGGTTGTTTCCAGGGGAAAGGAGATCACTTTCGTCAAAATTCGTAGCTGCCCAATAGAGTCCGAGAGCAACAATAGGGCAGATACCTGGCTGCAGTGTGAGATGACGCATGGCGCGTCACCGGGCTCTCCGACCTTCTATCACTACGTAAAGTAGGTCCCATAAGCACAGACTTGTAGGGCAGTAGGTGTAGAGCAAGTAGGAATAGAATGTAAGACACGTGAGTGCCGGGCAAAGTACCACGACAGGACCACGGAGTTCTAGTGCTTGCTGCCTCTCACTCGTTGTGCACGCAGCACAGCAAAAGCAGTTGTGAGAGTGAGAGCTGCTAGCACCTGAACCTCCATGTTCTGCAAAGTTAGATTAGCACATACTCAGTCTAAGATAGTCTATAGAAAGCTAAGTAGCTCACCATCACCTGCAACGCAGTTGCAGTTGCTCACCGCCACCAATGTCGTCCTTCATACAGTCCTTGGTATCTTCCGCACGCCGCTCGCACGTGAGCGCGTTGCAGACCGGTACGCCGGGATGCAGTACATGCATAGACACGCGTAGGATTGTAGGTTGGATCGGTAGTACTGGTATTGCCAGTGTCTTGGGCTGTGGCAATGACGTCTGGCACTGGACACTGGCAGACCGTAGCAAGTAGCATCTCACAGTAGCAGGATAGCATCTCACACAGTGGGTTGGCATATACATGTCGGGGATCACGAGCAGGGGCTAATGGTAACCAAATATCATATGATATTTTTGATAGTAATAGTACTATTTTTGATATTAAATATTAATAGTAACTCATTTTTGCACAAGTTAACATAATATTCTAATATTAACTCGAAGAGCTGAAAAATATTAGATACTACTTGATATTTTATGATATTTTCCCACTTAAGTACGTTTCTTGCCACCTTACGAGCGAAGCCAAATAACTTTTTCGATCAGGTTCTAGAAAAGCAGTAGGCCTTAAGACTGACAAGTATTTGCTCTAGTATTTCACTGTGACACAGACAAAGGCGATCGAGATGGAAAACTGCAAACGCTTGCAGCTGTTTAACGTTGATAGAGCGAAATCAAGACATTTGTTCTTGTTCTCTACCGATCTCCTCGTCCACATCGTGCGTCTAATAAACCTGCTGCCTGTGGCGCTAGATTAATGCGCTCAGCAGTGCCAACACACGACGCCAACCTTGCCGTCTCCCACAATTGTCCGTTGATTAGTAATACTTCAGCTAGTTGAGCGTTAGCGACATCTGATTGGTAAATTTAGCCCGATTACGCAATCTTTGAAAAATATAATATCGTATTAACTAATATTAAGTTGATATTTAATAATATCATATTGTCTCAGAAGAAAATATTAGGTGATATTTTTCATATTAACTGGTCTACAGGTGATATTTTCACAATATTAACTTCACCGATTTTACCATTAACCCCTGATCACGAGGGCGATCGCCACCTTGATCGTTCCCCATATGAGCGAAGTAAATCTGTAGAGCATCGCCCCTCCACTCCATGTGTGAATGACGAATGCCAAATGCATTAGACGAACGGCGCATCAAATTCCAGGCAATCACCATGTACGCATGAGCAAAAATCATCTCCTTATTTTCGTGAGCCAGCATCTTATCGCATAAAAAAGAATAAAGGTCGAGCATTAGCGGGTCCTTCCCCGTCTTGATTGCGCTCTCCCCGTTACCAGCATCCTTTGCAAGCTTGTGCTTGAGCCCCCTTGAAGTAGTTCGTAAGCTCCGACTCTAATGGCTTGCTCATAGTGTACCCGTAGTCGCGAAAGAGTAAATAGACTGGCTCTGTGGGTATTAAGAGCAGAGTAGCTCAGTACTCCACCATCCTTTCGCTCAAGTGTTACGAGCCAGGTGACGAAGTCTTTTGCTGTGAGAGCTGCAAATTCAAGCGGCATGAGGTGCCGGTCCTGGGTGATCAGCCCCTTAATACGAGACCTCAGCTGCTGGGTAGTGAGCGTGCTGGTGTTGGCGAGAGCTTACACAATACAGGGGGCACCAGGGGCGACTTGTTCCGGACCAACCATGCGAGAAAGCGGCACTAAGATTTCTGATAGGTAGTTCTTGAGCGGGGGTTGACAGTGTTGTCTCGAATATCGCGAGCAGTTTGTTCCAGCTTCTCCCAATCAGGGTCCTCCATTGCCGTAAGACAACACGTCTAACAAGTTCTGCGCGAATTGCGGTCTGCGATTTGAGCCACACAATCAAACAGAGAAGACTTCGGGAAAATGTCTCTAACTCGTACCTAAATAAATGCCTCAATGTCAAACAAAATTTGGGGAATGCTGATTTCATATATTACACTTCATTTTTGAAAATGGTCAAATATTCTTTATTCAAGGTTTTCCGAAGTACATTCAGAGGATTGTTGGCGCTGGTGGTGCGCCGTTGCTGTGCTTACTGGCGAGATTGGGGCTTCGATTCCCGCTCAGTTGTTTGCTCGACTTCAACTCTTCGGCGCCTTTTAGCTTCCACGATGTTGTCGTTGCGGTAGTTTTTGTTTGAGAATCTCTTGGAAGGCGATGCCGAAGCAACAGCATCAGAATCAGCAGGGACCCGAAATAGGAAGGCAGGCGCCAACACCACGAACACCACGAGGCACGCGATCAACAGGTCGGTCCAAATGTCTATACCGCCAGTCTTGATGACGGAAGATCCCATGGTACATGTAGCAATCTGGACGACTGAAGTTGAAGTGCTCTTTTTCCAAATTAGCTGATACACGTTCTGATAATAGCTGAGTATTTCTGATACTATCGCGTTTCGCGGGTGAGTTTCCGCCACTCAAACGTGCGGCCATCACGTTCATTGAGCTCCTCGCAGTCTCCAGCTCAAGCGACTTTCTTCACGTCTATTAGCCTGATATGCGCTGGCTGCAACTGTCTCGTGCTTCTGCCGGTCTGCGCCGCAGCAGCCCTACCACGCTGCGCATGCGCCCGACATCGTCGTTGCTGTCTCGCAGCTTCAGCGCCGCCATGTCGGACGCGGATGTGCCGCCTTTTGCGCCTGGCTTCCCCGTGCCCGAGGGCTACATGAACAACCTGCGGAACATTGGTATCTCGGCACATATTGACTCCGGCAAGACGACGCTTACGGAGCGCATCCTCTTCTACACGGGCCGTATCAATGCGATCCACGATGTGCGTGGCAAGGACGGTGTCGGTGCCAAGATGGACTCCATGGAGCTGGAGCGCGAGAAGGGTATTACCATCCAGTCCGCTGCCACATATTGCTCCTGGAAGGACTCCAACATCAACATTATCGACACACCTGGTCACGTCGACTTTACCATTGAGGTGGAGCGCGCGTTGCGTGTGCTGGATGGCGGCGTGCTGGTGCTCTGCGGTGTTTCCGGCGTGCAGAGCCAGTCACTTACTGTGGACAAACAAATGAAGCGTTACGGTGTCCCCCGAATTGCATTTATCAACAAACTTGACCGTATGGGTGCCAACCCCTGGAAGGTCATTGGAGACCTGCGCACACAGCTCAAGCTGAACGCCTGGGCGCTGCAGGTGCCTATCGGCGCTGAAAATGACCTTGAGGGTGTCGTAGATCTTCTGACCATGAAGGCTCTGCGCAACAAGGGCGACAGCGGTGAAGTAATCGAGGAGTCAGACGACATTCCTGCTGAGACTCGCAGCTTGGCCGAGGAAAAGCGTCTGGAGCTCATTGAGGCGCTGGCTGATGTTGATGATGAAATCGCTGAGCTGTTCCTTATGGAGGAAGAGCCCACCGTCGAGCAACTTAAGGACGCCATTCGTCGTACCACTATTGCACACAAGTTTGTGCCGGTTATGATGGGATCGGCCTTCAAGAATCGTGGTGTGCAGCCAATGCTTGACGGTGTTATTTCATATCTGCCGAGTCCGTCGGAGGTCAAGAACTACGCTTTGGACCAGTCGAAGGGCGAGGCTCGTGTGGGTGTCCCGTGCTCCCCCGAGGCGCCTCTACTGGCGCTTGCTTTCAAGCTGGAGGAGGGAAAGTTCGGTCAGCTGACGTACATGCGTGTGTACGCTGGTACCCTTAAGCGCGGTGGCTTTATCTACAACATGAGCGATATGAAGCGCATTAAGGTGCCGCGTCTAGTAAAGATGCACTCGAACGAGATGGAAGAAGTGGAGGAAGTTAGTGCTGGCGAGGTCGTGGCCATGTTCGGCGTTGAATGTGCCAGTATGGACACGTTCAGTGACACGAACCAGGGCAAGTTCACTATGACGAGTCTGCACGTGCCTGAGCCGGTGATGTCGTTGGCGGTGACGCCCAAGAACAAGCAGCAGATCGGCAATTTCTCCAAGGCGCTTAACCGTTTCCAGAAGGAAGATCCGACGTTCCGTGTGCGTGTGGATGACGACAGTAAGGAGACGATCATTAGTGGTATGGGTGAGCTGCACCTGCAGATCTACGTGGAACGCATGAGGCGTGAGTACAGCGTGGATGTGGAGACTGGTGCGCCCCAGGTGAACTACCGCGAGACGATCCGTCAGCGTAGCGAGTTCAACTACCTGCACAAGAAGCAGAGTGGTGGTTCTGGTCAATACGCCCGTGTGGTTGGGTACGTTGAGCCTCTTACGGACGAGGAGGTAGAAGAGCTTGACAACGCAGGCAACACTTCGGGTGTCGTGTTCGAGAACGCTATCGTCGGTAATGCTATCCCTCCTGAGTACATTACGGCTTGTGAGAAGGGTGTGAACGATGCCATTCAAAAGGGTTGGCTCATTGGCCACCCGGTGCAGCGTATGCGTGTGGTGGTGAATGATGGTCAGTCGCACTCTGTGGATTCCAGCGAACTTGCTTTCCGTACCGCTATGGTGCTGGCTATCCGCCAGGCGTTCCTGAAGGCCGATCCGTGCATCCTCGAGCCTGTAATGGCTGTGGAAGTGGAGGTGCCCAACGAATTCCAGGGTACGGCTATTGCTGAGGTGAACCGTCGCCGTGGTCTCATTAACAGCAGCGACGCCGATGAGATGCACACTGTCGTCAAGTGCGACGTGCCGCTGCAGAACATGTTTGGCTTCTCGACGGATCTGCGCTCGTCCACGCAGGGCAAGGGTGAGTTCACGATGGAGTACAAGACTCACGGTATTGTCATGCGTGACATGCAGGAGAAGCTGGTGGCCGAGTACGAGAAGTCGCTGGCTGCCAAGAACAAATAGATGTAAGTCGCTCTTAAATTTCTTTGCCCGGGACGTAGACAGCTAGCTGCATCAGCTGTAGCTAGGAATTAGACCAGGTAGACTGCGGTCTGTGGGTAACAAAACATTCACGTATTTTTCATTTGCTGCCAAAATGTTCCCATCTATCCATAGGATGGATCTATTGAAATGCACACAAACTCCCGCGATACTATCGGTAGGACGGTTCTACCTACTTGTGATCCGATGGGGGCGCCGTGCGCTTTCGCTTAGCTGGCCGCTCCTTTTCCGCGGCGTTATCACCGTCTACTTTGGCAGCTTCGAGCCTCCTCTTCTTTGCAGCCTCAATGCGAGCTGCCCGACGTTGAGCCTCCTCCTCTTCGGCCTCCTTTTTTGCAGCCTCCTCCGCTTTCCAAATCGGCAGTTGCTTTTGGTACTTTGGAGCAGAAGTGTGCTTCTTGACACTCTTCTCGTCGCGGGCAATTGCCAACTCTGTCACGTTACACCACAGCATGCCTGGCTTTGACTCGTCCGGGTGATCCACAAACATTGGCACGTACTTTGCGAACGAGAGCTTAAGATTGCGAGCTTTGAGGTAGCGCTTACCGTAGATGTATGTGGTAATAACGTCCACATCTGCCTTCATCTCGTGTCCCGTCGTGGAGCAGCGTACGCGCGAGTCACCAACAAATGTAAGGTCCTTCGCAGATTTCACTAGAGCCTCCACAGTCTTTCGCGCCTTGAGCTCAGCCTTCCTGCTGGCTAGTGCAGGTTTCTTGTCAATAACAGGCCCCCCTTCCTTGGCAGCAATTACATTATTTTCTGCAGAGGCCGGATGACTTTCGCGAGTGGGCGATTTCTTTGTCGAAGATGAAGCCTTAACGCGTGAACTCTTAGCTTGCGAGGCAATAGTAGGCGCCGGATGACTTTCGCGAGTGGGCGATTTCTTTGTCGAAGATGAAGCCTTAACGCGTGAACTCTTAGCTTGCGAGGCAATAGTAGGCGTAGCCTTGGTGGTAACTGCAAGCGTCACCTTCTTCGTCGGCGTCTTCTTCTCATGGTTCTTCATCCCCACCTTCCTCGGCTCATTCCTCGGTTGCTGCTTGTTGATCTGGGTCTCCTTAATGTTTACATCGACATCGGCCACCGCCTTTTCCTGCTTCTTCGACGTGTCCTTCTTGGGTGTGATCTTTTTAGCCACAGGTGACGCCACGGGAGTCACATTGCGGCTGCTGCCCAGTGCGGCTAACACCATTTGCTCGCCATCCTTGGGGTGCTTGTCCAGGAATTCCGCAGCGTTGCTAACAATCACGTCTGACTTGGCATTTCCCCTGCATAGCTGCAATTCTTTGGCCAGCGCCTGCAGCTCGCGACGCGACGCGCTCTCCAGTGCCTTTAATGCTTCACTCATAGTTGTCGGAGTATTTACAGAAGTGAAGAAGGTATCAGATAAAAAAGCGCGCAATTTGGCAAGGAATTGGCGCGCTTCACTCTCTACCAGTCGACTGATCTTGTGCGAGATGCCCCCATCATACGGACTAAATAGCACTTTGTGTTAAACTCACACACTAAATATGATAGATAATGGGTTATCAGCTTCAACTTGCATTACGCAAGTCCCGCAATCCAACTGCACCCCCCAGGACAAGAGCAAGTCTCGAAATGTACTTGCTCCGTCAAACGCGCAACTTGGCTTCACGTCTCTCCACACCCCGCCCCATGACCAACGTCGCCTCCGATCGCCCTCTCCGCGTCGGAATCGTAGGTGCTGGACGTATTGGCCAAGTGCACGCTCAAGGGGTACAGCGTACGAGTGCAGTTGTACATTGCATTCAGCTACCAGCTCGAGTACGTGGAAGTGCGGATGTTGACTACCATGTACTGCAAACGGTTAAATACTGATATTGGTTGCTTTTCTAACAGGAGACGGAGCCAGATCGCGCCAAAAGAATCGCCAAGAAATACGGCATCCCCAACTGGACCAACGACGCGTCCGAAGTGTTGAGTCATCCCGAGATCGATGCGGTGCTCATCTGCTCACCAACAAACAGGCACGCGGAGCAGATTATCGAGGCTGCAAAGAACAAGAAGCACATCTTTTGTGAGAAGCCTGTGGATCTTGAACTGGAAGTTGTCAACAAGGCCATCAGGGCGGTGTGTAGCTTGCCATTCATGAGTTTGTTTCCTACAAGTAACTGACTTTCCCTATTGGACTTTTTGGCTCCTCGTAGGTCGAAACCGCTGGTGTGAAGCTCATGATCGGGTTTCAACGGCGCTTTGATACCAACTTCCTTCGCATCAAGGAAGCCATCGACCGTGACGAGATTGGCAAGGTCAACGTGATCCGCATCACAAGTCGTGACCCCAGTCCGCCTCCTGTGAGCTACATCAAGAGTTCTGGTGGGCTATTTCGCGACATGACAATCCACGACTTTGACATGGCTCGCTTCTTGGTGGGCGATGAGGTGGACGAGGTTTACACCATGGCGAAAAGCGTGAATCCTGGCATTGCAGCAGCGGGTGACATCGACACGGCTGTGGTGCTGCTTAAGTTTCGGAATGGAGTCATCTGCTACATTGAGAACAGTCGCGAGGCCGCGTATGGTTATGATCAACGGGTGGAGGTTCTGGGCTCGAACGGCTCCGTGGCTTGCGACAACAAGCACGCAAACCAGGTTGTGGTGTCGACAGGTAAGAGTGTGCGCCGCGACTTGCCACTGCATTTTTTCCTGGAGCGCTACATGGACGCTTATGTCGAAGAGATGGAGGCGTTTATCCGCGTGTGTACTACAGACGCGCCGGTTCCTGTAGGCGGTGACGACGGTCGTGAGGCTCTGTTGTTGGCTCTTGCTGCAAACAAGTCTGTTGCTGAGAATCGCCCCGTTAAGGTTGATGAACTGCGTGGTTGACTTGGATAAAGTAACTCTTTTCTGCGCCCTTAGCATGCGCATTGCTGACAAAGGACTCCGAACGGGTAGAAAGCAATTAAAACTTTGATCGATGGTTCTGGTTTGTTATTGCTCGTTGTGATACAAATCAGATCTGTGCTGCTGCTCCTCAAGACCATACGAAGTACTCGATAGTCTTCTAACAAGTCGTTAAACTCTAGCAGTACCGTGCTCTGATACCTCGTCCTCTCCAGTCACGCACCTTGTGCTTGCACTATCTTCTTTCAGCGGATCTGTTCGTGCTTCTCGAATCAGCAAGTCCAAGTCAACCTCATGAACGAATACTGACTCTGCTCCATCCAAAGGAGGTTCAAAGGTGTCACTTGATGCTGAGGTAGCTCTTGTTTCCATCGGCTGAACCGGAAGCTCCGTGAGAAGCGTGCGAGGTCTCCGGCCAAGTACTAAATCTTCTTTACCATTTGCAGCACTCTCTTGCTCCTTTTTGCTTGTACGCGTAATGAAGAAATGGTAGTCGCGGTTGTCTGAGCCTTTGCACTGCACAACCAACCGTGCAGCGAAAATACGGGCGATTTCTTTCTCGCTTGAGGTCTCCAGGACGACCTCTTCGTCTTCATACGGGAGTAGTGCAATAGTCTCGAACAAGTGAAAGTAGGCAACTCGAGCCACAGCAGTCTCTTGGTTTGACGGAGTACTGGGTGTCGTCTGAAGCTGCAGAATAGGCGGATCCTTCGACACACGTAGCACAACGTCCACCATATCGCTAGTACTCTGACCACCGCCCTCACAGATGTAGGGCTCTTCATGGTGCGGCTCTACAATCTGCATCTTGTACTGCATAGCCTCCGTCACCAGCAAGTAATCGTGTGCAGCCTCTGGCGTTAGTCCCGACGGGAGGAGTTGACGATCCGTGGTGATCATACTGCTTCCGAGAGCTTCGTAATTCTTACGTACAAGGTAACCACGATATCGAGCCTTGATCTTCCCTATGGCAAGCTTCTTTCGAATGAACTGCCGCCGCGCCAGAAATCCCTTAGAGAAGCTTTGGATCATCATGACGGCGGCGTCCGTCTCGAGCAGTTCTTTTTCGTCTCCATGTTCCTTAATCAAAGACATTCGCGGCTGGCTTACTGATCCGACAAGCGGCCTATCACACTCCGAGGTACTGTCATTTTCATTCTCACAGTCGACATCACTATCGCTGCTGCTGTCACTGTCCTTTTCATGGCTGCGGCAGCTACTACATGTAGAATCGCTGTCAATTTGTCCAAGGAGTCCTCCATCTCCACTGCTTTTAGCCTTTGACTTCCGTTTCTTGCGCATCTTCCTCAGTTTTGCTTTCATTGTGTCAATCTCACGCTGTGACGCTGCAAGTTCCTCCAGCAAGTACGCTTCTCGAGCGGTCAACACAATGGCGGAGTTATCTGCACTGCCACTACGAGTTTGACGTCTGAACTCTTTCAATGCACGAACTTCTTCCATGGACTGCACGACAATCTTCTGATATCGGTTGACCTCTGCACTCAGAACAATGCTATTGCGACGTAAGACCTCCTTCTCGATATCTGTTCCACCAGTCGAGCTTTGTCGCCTTCCTGGGCTGCCATTTGGAGTCGATGGGGGAGCAGAGAGCGCCACCATAGATCCTAGACGCTCCATTTTCCTTACTTCCGTCAAAGGCGCCACATCCGGAGACACTGATGCAGTGGCAGGTGTAGCAGGCATTGGTGTCAGTCCTGCTGGACCACTGGGCTTGTCAGTCTCTTCTACCGGCGTTACGCCTGTCAAATTCGTCAAAGCCAAAGCTACAGCAGGTGACGGCAACGAGAGATTCTCAAGAGCGTCCAACTCGCGCTCCTGGTTGAGCCTTGTCAGGGCAGTCTCAGAGACACGCAGAAGTTCATCTTGTCGTTCTTGGCGCTCTTTACTAAGCTGCAGTAGCCCTTCTAGCTCTTGAATGCGTCCTTGAGCCTCGATGAAATCAGCCGCTCCAACATCACCAAAGCCGACCCCACCAGGGGTAAACTGTAATAAAGTTCCCTTTCGCTCACTTAGTTGATCAGGTGAGAGCTGACGATCTCGCTGCAGCAAACGCAGCGAGACTTCAAGATCCTTGACTTTGTCCCTCAATTTCTGCTTCTCTTCCTGATGACGAGCTAGTTTGAGCTCATACTCCGTGCGCAGTGCATGCACAGCCTGCTCACGCGTAGCTCGCAGTGTTGCAGCCTCGCCTTCTTTCCATTCGCGAAATTTGTGTCGGGTCTCAGCTAATGCGCAGACAAGTCGCTGGCGTTCAGCCTTTGAGCTCTGGGCAAGTGCAGCCGTCCGTCGCGCTTCGTGAGCAGCACTGACTCGAGCTTGTGCTAGTCGAGCCTGAAGACGCTCCCCATCTGCCTGTGAGGCCCGGAGAGCGGCTTCTGCGTCGTTGAGCTGACGCGTATGCGAACATCGCGCCGTTTCCAGTCGCTGGAACAATGTCACTTGCCGTATTTTCTCTTCAATTACTTGCTCTCGCATGGTCTCGTAGTCCTGTTGACTATAAGCTCGTTCCTCCCAGAGTTCGTGTAGCTTTATCTCTCGCCCTAGTCTATCTGCATTGACGTCTCGGTCAAATGCAGTATTTTCTCGACTATTTTCGAGGCGTGTTTCTCTCTCTTGCACTGAAAGAAATTCCTTCGAGCGAGGTTTAAACGGTGAGTTCCGAAGTCGAGGTGCCAGTCTTGCGGCTTGTCGTTTGCTGTGGCTTTTCTTCTCCGTTGAAGGCACTATGACAGGTCTGGAGCCTTCCCTTGTGCTTTGAGCGCGTCTCTCTCGAGCAAGTTCAGCCTGCAGCAGCTCCAGTGTCGTCTGCATCTGCTCGTCAGCAGCAAATCGCGCTCGCTCGAGCTCTTGCCCTTCAGTAGCGTGAAGACGCGTAGTCTCCTCCAATGCAGCGTCTCGCCTCTGTGCACTATCGCTCTGATTATCGGTCTCTATCAGCACCTCGTGCAGCACCTCAAGTGCGTCCTCTAGAGATGTTGAAGTTGGCTGTGTGATGGTCGGGGATTGCTCGTGTCTTGGCTGGAAAGCGCCATCTGCTGGCACAGCTACGGATGCAAGACTCTGCTGCTCCGTCCTCCTATCCGGTGTCCCTAGTCCATCTCGTGGGGTGAACCAGGCTGCGCGCTTGGCCACATTGGGGCTCACGCCACGATGAGCGACTGACGGCGTACCTGCATTGATTGCAGGCAGAACGCCATTGCGCTGCATCGTATCAAGTGCAGGCGGTTGCCTCACCACAACAACTGGGCAGCGGTCTCATATAAATACATAACTTCAGCCCGCCGTGTTGCCATCTTCGTCAACTATATTAGCGACTCATTGTTTTGTGTTTGAACTGGAACAACTCGCGCCGGTTCCAGTAATGGAGCCGCGCTGCCATTGGTCGATCTCACCAGAAGCGTCCTGTTGTACTTGCCACCTAAGCTGTCCCGGTGCGTGGACGCACTTCACGATTCTCCTGCGCTTCTATCATAGCCCCCTGCCTCCAATATGCTCAACTCGAACCTGACCAAGCCCCTGCGTGTGGGTCTCATTGGCGCTGGTCGCATCGGCAAAGTGCACGCGCAGAGTCTACAGCGCGCCGGAGCCGTCATCGTCACTGTGCGTAGAAATTAGTGGTGTCTGACGCACGTTTTGGTGACTCACTCGACTGACTACGCGTAGATCGCTGACCCCGTGGGTGACGTGGCAGAGACTGTAGCTGCACAGTTCGGTATCGCGCACTGGACCAAGAATGCGTCCGACGTCTTCATTGCCGACATTGACGCCGTCGTCGTCTGCTCCCCAACTGCCCTGCACGCCGAGCAGATTATCGAGGCGGCGAAGCACAACAAGCATATCTTTTGCGAAAAGCCTGTAGACTTCAGCGTCGATGTCGTCAATAAGGCTATCAAGGCGGTAAGTGGCTGGCTGCTGTAGACAAAGTCCAGTAACACTTTCACCGCACAATGCTGTTCTGCGATTACTAGCGGTTCCAACTTCATAAGGGCGAGTTTCAGCCCTTAATCCGAACCTGGATAATTTTTACAGATTTGCTCCAACTTTGCCCGCATCAAGCAGGCCATCGACCACGACGAGATCGGCAAGGTAAACATGCTACGCATTACCAGCCGCGATCCCGGGGCTCCGCCAATTGAGTACGTCAAGGTGTCCGGCGGACTCTTCCGTGATATGACAATCCACGATTTCGACATGGCTCGCTTCCTGGTGGGCGACGAGGTAGACGAGGTCTACGCAATGGCACAAAGCATCAACCCTGATATTGCAGCAGCGGGCGACATCGACACGGCCGTGGTGCTGCTCAAGTTCCGCAACGGAGTGATCTGCTACATCGAGAACAGTCGTGAAGCAGCATACGGCTACGACCAACGCGTGGAGGCGCTTGGATCCAAGGGCTCCGTGGCGTGTGACAACAAGCATTCGAATCAGGTGGTGATCTCAACGAATGAGAGTGTGCGTCGCGACTTGCCACTGCATTTCTTCCTGGAGCGCTACATGGACGCTTATGTTGCGGAGATGGAGGCGTTCATCCGTGTGTGCACGACGGGTGCACCTGTTCCTGTGGGCGGTGACGCTGGTCGTGAGGCTCTGTTGTTGGCTCTTGCTGCAAATAAGTCTCTTGCTGAGAACCGCCCTGTGAAGGTCGACGAGCTGCGGTAGCTTGCCTCATTATGGCTTCCGCTTGTGCTGGCCGCCTGGCTAAAATGCTGTTATCTCGCTTGCCTTTTTGTTCTTGTAGAAAGGATCTACCAGTACGTGATCATAAACCCTAAAATGAATGAACCCCAACAACAAAAAAGAGAGCCGACACAATCCATTTCGTGTGTCTTCGTCTGTACCGGTAGTTACACTACACCCTCAGTCTCTCTGTTTAAAAGTCGGTCCATCTAAAACACAATAGTGTCAAGCATTGCACCGAGGCACTGGACTGTGTTGAGGGCCATGAGGTCGTACACGTCGTTCTCCAGGTGCTTCTTCGGGTCCAGTTTGCCGACATTCAGCACCTCGAGCTCCTCGGGAGTCTTCTCTTCCTCCTCCTGAACTCGCTTATTGTACTGGTCCGTAAGCGCCAGCATACTCTGCATTGACAGTAACACATTTCACAGTTACATCACATCCACGCAACCAAAACCTCGCAGTAGTTCGGCTTTGTACCTTTACGGTCTGCTCGTTATCCTTGGAGTGGTCCTCAAACTTGGTCAGTACGAGTCCGTCACTCCACGTTTTCTTGTGTAAATTCATGAGCATTTGCTCCTCGAGCTCATTCTTGCGGTAGTCAATTGCGATCGAGTAGTAGTGACGGTTGAGACCGTGGATCAGCGCCTGGATCGACGGTTTGTTCAGGTGGCCGATGTTTGACGTGGTTTGTCGCGGCTCCTGTCCCATCATCATAAGCTGTGGGTTGATGAGGCGGAAGGCGTCGATTACGACTTTGCCCTTGACACTCTGAATAGGGTCCACTACCACAGCTACAGCGCGTGGGTTCAGCGCCTCGAAACTCTGCTGCGTGTTGATATCCACGCCCGACAGCCAGCAACCAAAGCCCGGGTGCGAGTGGTACCATCCCACGACCATCTCGGCTCTTCCTGTCTGCTTAAGCATCTCCAGCATCTTCATCTGAAAAACTGGGTCCACGGCCTCCACACTCACGCCCGTTCCGCTCTGCGGCATGGCGAACACGTCGATGCAGTTGACCGTGAAGTCGTCCACGAACTCGCCCAGCATGAGACCCATCACCTCCATTGGGACACCGGCACGGCCTGGCAGAATTAGGAAATTAGTTGACGAGGTCGGTTAAAGGCGAGAACATCTATTTTACCGTGCTTCAGCATCTTAAGCAGCGCTAGCGACGAAATGTGCACCTTCTCAGCTGTGTCGACCAAAGGTCCATCAGCACCAGGTCCGCCTTGGCCCGGAAGTCCAGGAAGGTTGCCAAAGAGACGTTGCAGTCGGTCCATCACTACGTGCCGAAGGAGCCTTCAAGCCTTAAAGGATCCAGATTTTGGGGGAACTTGCAATGAAATGGCCTACACAAATCTACATATTGTGGTGTGGCATACACATGTTTGTGTGTTTACATGTTAGTTCAATTCAAGATGGAGACGCCGCCGAGAGGAAGGAAGGCACCGACGCCCGCTTCGTCCAAAAAGTTGCACGCTCGACTCAAGCGCCAAATGGAGGGCGAAATGGACGTGGAAGGTAATCCTGAGATGGAGCGCATGGGCGACGAAGTGCCCGTGCACGCATCCGCCATCAAGGCACTGGTTGACGACTACGACGATGACGATCTCGAGTGACGGGGTATAACAAGTCAACGACAGCCTGATAATGAGATGGAACCAGGAGAAAAGAATGACAGTCTTAATACTTTCTGTCACCAACATCATGGATTGTCCTCGTCGTGCATTGGCCTCTTACGTTTGATCTAAACGCGGCCGGCCTCCTTAATGGCGGTGAAGAAGGCACAATTAAAGACCGTCTTCATCATACTCTTGGAATTGTTGGTGTACAGGCACTCGCGCTGGGACTCCTTCTGGATACGGAAGTTGAACGTGGTCATTACGTGCTTGATCTCATCGTACGAGAGCTCCACCGACTGCTCGTAGCGCTCGTCATCGGCACCGCTTCCGTCTTGCCAGTGGTATAGCAGAGGGCCAAGATTAATCCAATAGCCACCAGGCTTGAGCAGACGCTCAAATGCAGCAATGTACTCAATCACGTTCGGTGCCGCATCGATGAAGAAGCACGTCACAATACAATCCCAGCATTCTACAAGACGCGACAGATTTACATCAGCCTTTATAAAACGTTGCAAATACCTGCAGCGGAATGTTCCTCACCCTTGTCATTCGCATAGGCCTCCAGGAACTCTCCAGCACACATAGAAAAATCGGGCGGGACGGCAGTGCCTGTGTTTAGACCCAGAAGTTCTGCTGGTGCAACGTCCGGGACGGCCACGGGGCGCAGTAGATCGGTGACTGTCATCGCATTAGACGGGTTGTGAATCCACGGGTGAATCTCGAATTCCAAAGGCCGCGATATCCTGTTGACGACGGTAGAGTACTAATTAACGATCATGAAACATACAAAAGTGAGCAAGGCGACTGTGTACCAGTTGAGAATGAAGTTGCTTGCGAACAGCATTTGATATGAGAATTCGTTGCCTTGGACAGCGTAGCCCAAGGCGGCGATCTCCAGCGCGAGTCGTCCCAACCCCGCTCCAGGTAGCAGCACCCGAGGACGATCCATTCTGCCCAGTACCAGTCAAAGCAGTTATTTCCCCGTCCTTTTCAGCAATGCTAACATCCTCCGCAAATATCTTACGGGTTATCTGGATTCACCATCAGAACGCGACGTAGCTCCTTGATAATGGGCGTATAGCACATGTCACGCTCTTTCTTGCCCTGTAGCATATCAACACGCAATACAGGGATCAGAGGATAACGATAGAGCCATGCTCCCAAGCATCGACCGACCTCGTCAGACCAATCACGCACAAACTGGTGCAGCGTGCTCTTGAGCTTCGAGAAGTGGCGCAGGGGGCTCCGCAACGGCATTTTAGGCGTAATCTCGGGCAGCTCGTATGCTGGTCCATTCTCCAGCTGCGCCTGCACAATGCGTTCGAATAGGATCTGGTTGTGGTGCGTCGCGTTGACGAAGTGATGCAAGTTACGGAGCGTGGAGGATTGAGGCAACCGGCGCTGCATATCGACGGGCATTGCCTGCATGCGCTTCTTGCGCCGGTAGATTTCGCGCATCATGTAGGACTCATACTCGCGGAACGACAATAATACCGACTTGTAGTGCTCCTGCTCCTCCGGATCCAGCTCCATTTCGTCCCTTGATCAGCGAAAACGCGAAAGTGACGTGGTGCACGTAATTAGAGTTTACACCACAGCATCAAAAACTCAATTGGTTGCGGAACCGACCATGTCCCAAGGCCGCATCTTGCCGCTCGGTGAGTGCTACGAGGCACCGACTGTTTGTAGAACGATGCTTACGGAGTATGCTACGGCGTCATCGTCGGCGATTGTTTTCTGTCTGTTTGCAGAGCTTATTGACAAATGCATCGGCTCTAAGCTCTGGATCGTCATGAAGGGCGACAAAGAGTTCCTCGGCACGCTGCGGGGCTTCGACGACTACGTTAGTAAGTGGTGACAGCTACTGCCGTATCTGCAATGAGCTTACTGTCCCTTACTTTACGACGTAAAGTGAAAAATGCTGACCTAGTCTTGCTTTCGGTTCTTTAGACATGGTGCTGGACGACGTCACGGAGTAGTACGTTGCGGTATTTTTTGCCACTGCTTGCCTCGTGATATGTATAGTACTTGCAATACATAGTAACTTTTAACTAACTTTGTTGCGGTTTATTTCTTCCGTTCAGTGAGATTACTCCGGAGGGAAAACGTGAGGTGAAGCTGGACCAAGTTCTTCTCAACGGCAACAACGTGTGTCTGGTACGTTGTCGACGCCAGCTTATTTTTTTCTCACTCGCAAATTATGTACGTGGCCAAACAGCTAGATAACAAGAGTATTCCTTGTCTGTTATAGCTTGTGCCTGGAGGATTCCCGACTACATCGTAGGTTCTTCGTTAACAGTTTGGACGTTATCGTGTCAGAAAGCAGCAGCAGTCGAGATAAATCGACGGTAGCGTCTACACCTGTTCCACTCCAAGATATCAAATTATCTCTACCGAATTAACAGCCAGCGCAACGCAAACGTGCAGCGTAAATTCCGTGACATCTCTGCCCCATTGACACGTTCTACAGTACTAAGTTGCGAAAACCCGACACACACGGCTCCATTGTTGATTCGATGCATGTTCCTTCCTACTTAGCCGCCACCTCCGTCCCTGTGCTCATCTTCTATAATCTGTGTGCTTACTTCTTGGCCTTCTCGGCGTTGTTGGCCTTGACCGAACGGCGATTGAGTAGGACGAGATAGCGGTGCTGCTCCTCCATCTCAAGATTGTCGAAGCCTGTGCGCTCCAGTTCGCCCAGCGTTGGCTTGGGGTCCAGCAGCGTGAAGAGCCACTCCGGGTATTCGGACTTGTCCTTGAGCTCCGGGTGGGCTCCGTCCTTAAAAATGTTGGTGGGCACCACCGTGGTCAGGTCCACAACTTCTTCCACAGCGGCAGCTCCGCCTTTGCCTTTGGCCGCAAATGAGCGCGCGCCCGCCATGAACGGCTTGGTCAGTCTCCGTGTCGTCGCCAGCATCTTCAGTCGCATCTGGTTGCTCGTTCACTGTCCACACAGGCTTGATGGAGATATTTTCTGATATTTACAAATGAAATACTCAATTTTTGTCGATAAACCGTTTTTTTATTCGATGGCTACAGTATATCGTTTTCTCTGTGTTCGGAGCTGCTCACCACTCAGTGTGTAGCATGGGCGTTAAGCAGAAGAAGCAGAAGGGCGCGCGCTCGTCAAACGCCGGCAAGGCACAGGCCTTCGCGCAGACATGCATGAACAGTATGCAGTTCAACAAGGACAAGAAACACCAGAACCGACGTCGTATGCGTGTAGTGCAGCTGCAACGCTCGGTGGATCGAAAACTGCAGGAGCTGCGCGCATTCCCCAAGAACCCTGCACCGCCAAAGCCAGCGCGCAAGGGACCCAAACCTCCATCCGAATGGAAGCTTAAGGGAGCGGCAAGACCAGCTGCGCTGCTGGCCAAGATTGCAGCAGGAGAACTGGACGAATGCGGCAACGAGTTCCCTAAGCCAGTGGAGACCTTCGATTTGTACGAGATGATGTTCAAAGAGGGCAAAATGGCGGAGCACAATGATACCAAGGAATACATCAGGTACGATGCAAATTTTGCTAAATGCAGTGGGAACTGACTGTATATTGCAGTCTGTTGAAGCAGCTTGCAGCGGCCTGCTGCGAGGCCGGGATGCCTGACCGTGGCATTAAGAACTATGAGCTGTGCATGAGCTTGGACAAGGCAGATTATTTCCACTCGCGCGAGGGTCTGGCGTGTGCGTTGGTTGATGAAGGTCGTGGCGCTGAAGCACGCGCCTTGATCGAGGAACACAAGGACGAGGACTCGGCCGTGCTGGCCTACTGCCAAGTGGTCATTGAGTACGTGTCGTGGGAGGTGCTGGAAGAGGAGGGATCTTCGGAAGAAGTCGTTCAAAAGGCATTCCGCAAGGCGTTTGCACTGAATCCGTTCTTGGCCGTTGTCATCGCGTACCATGAGGCTTTCTTCCAGGTGATGGAGTACGTGGAGGAGATCACGGATCCGAAGCGTGGCTCCATCGAAGAAGCGTTTGTCTACATCTCGCAGAATATTGGCGTGTGGGTGGATACTGTGGGCGCTCATCAGTGGATAGAGAAAGAACTGAACGAGCTTTCTGAGCCTGCAGCAACGAAGGAGGACGTGTCAGAAGAAATGTACCTCGGTATGTACGAAACAGCCATTGAAATGCACAAGGAAATGCTCGCAGAAGCCGAGGCCGAAGCAGCGGCTGTAGCTGAAGCTGACGGTAGCGATGCCGAGGGAGACGATGGATACGAATTTGGCGATTTCGAGCCTGATGATATCGACGGTGGTGACAACTAGCGACGCCACTAAACCAGCACCCAGTTTCACATAGATCTCGTATTTTATTTTTTTTTCACTAGAGATGGACAGGTAGAAGAGCAGAATTTTTGCATTGAATTATTCTTCGACGTACTTAGCGAACAGGTTCTCGGGGTTGGTCATGGCCTTGAACTCGAGGTTGTTGCCGCTGGGGTCCTTGAAGAACATGGTCCACTGCTCCCCCTTGCGGCCAGCGAAGCGGAGGTGAGGCTCAACAATAAATTTGATGCTGAGACCCTGCACACGCTTGGAGAGGGCGTGGAACTCGTCGACCGTTAGCGCTACACCGAAGTGCGGGACCGGCACATCGTCCGCATCTGTAGCAATTATCTTAGAGGAAAACCCTGTTCTGACGGTAATAATCTACTCACCGACAGGGTTGAAGAAGTCCACGCCGCGGTAGTCTTTCGTCACTTGGTGCACAACGAGCTGATGACCGAACATGTTGTAGTCCTTCATTGGGTTCCAGTGTCAGACCTATTAGAATCACTTAGCCGGGACAAATACGAACCTGCCACTGCTTGGACGAGCGCCCTTCGATGAAGCCTAATTTCAAGCCGTAGAACTCCTTGGCTAAACGACACCACGGCGTAGTTTGAGAATTAAACAACCATTCGATGCCACTGAAAGCACGCCTGATCGCACCTTCCGCAAGGTCGTGGACCGGCACAGCGAGGTGGAAGGGTGGCACCTGCGACGACATGAATCTTCTTCCGACGGGCTTAAAGGTCGTATTGATGGCGCGCTGCAACATCAGGCCACTCACCAAATGAGCGCTTCAATGTGATCCTCCTTGGCTCTGGATTGGACGGCTGCTGTGATTGGAAGAGCAGGGTCACCGTGCGTTATTGAATTATTGTAGCAAACAAATATTGCGAATTCTGACCAAATTAAAAGTATGGACTGACTCGTCCAATACAATTCTCAAGTCCAAAACATGTGGCGCCTCTTCGAACTTGATAAAAATCTTATTTCGTACTTAGACAAGCCCTCAGTGAGTTCAAGTAATTTGCCCAAGTACGTCGACGTTTTAACCGGCGTCGGAAAGTTCGAGTAGAACGCACAATATAATAAGGAACTGGATAAAGTCACACGGGAATTTTCCTACTAAGTGCGAAATAGAATATCTTACCGAAACTAAAATCTCGAAAACTGAGGCCTCTCCGAATGTTTGAAAACACCCCTTCCCCCCTTTCACTCATCCTAATTCATTGCGAGCCTCTCATTTCAAAAGAGGCGCGAAAAGCAGGACAAGCAGCATGGCGAACGTCGCGTCGGCATCCGAGCCCGACGCCGAGACCACTGAAGCTAAATCCCCGGATGTCCACGTCCCTGCATCGAGTGACCATGTTGCCCGCGCTCCGCGTATGGAGGTAGAGGCGTTCGAGAGCTGGGGGGCGTTTTTCGAAGGATTCAGCGAGTATGAACAAAGGACTCACCAGATATTCAAGAAGAGAACATCAACCAGTGCCAAGACGCGGAATAAGGACCTCCAAGAGCGTGGGAAGGCTACGCCAGAGACTGATATCCCCAGCTCTTTTGATAAATACTATCGGAAGCTGGTGTGCACCCACAGCTGGTCGCGACCGAGTAGGTCGAAGGGCAAGCGCCACAACTACTTCGTCAAATCGACTGGATGCCAAGCGCAGATGACGGCGTCGGTGGCATGGGACGCAGTCCGGGACTTCCAAGATACCGCCCATAACCATGCGCTGGGGTCTGGACCTTATGAAAATCACCCTTCTAACCGGCGCGTCCGAGATGAAGATGTTATTAACTTTGTGGATGAGCTCCAAGCTGCAGGAGCCAAGAAAAAACTTATCTTGCAGTTTTTGCGGAAGAAGACAGGTATTTACCCTACTGGTAGCATCTATGTGTTGCTAAAGCACGAATTGTAGGGAAGAACGTCACACTACGTGACGTGCACAACATGGTTGCAAGTCTGAAGGAGGTAATGCGTAGATCTACGACTGTTGAGTCGCGACTGGAGGCTGTTCTCCGAGAATTCTGTTCGCGGAAGGGCAATACAGCTACCATCTACGTGGACGATAAAAAACTGGCCCAGACTATTACTTTCCAGACTCGGCAGATGCCGGCGCTTCTTTGAAGCCTTCCCACAGGTGCTGATGGTGGACGCTACGCACAACATCAATGACGCGCGGTACAAGCTCTCCAGTTTCATGATCCATGGCGTCTTCGGTCACGTACGTATTATTGGTGTCTTTTTGTGAGATATAGTGCCTAACAGTGACCTTTTGTGGCTTGTTGTACACGTGTGCCTCCTTGTGTCTTCTTGTCATGCTCGTGACTTTTGTGAACATGGGACTTCGTGCGACTTTTAAGGGTCAGTACGTCCGGCACGCCCTTATGGAGAACGAGAGCGCGGACTGCTTGACCGATGCAGTAACGTCATTCAAGTCGCTCAATCCAACCTGGGACCAAGTTGGAGTAATCATTGTTGACAAAGAGTTTGGGGAGATATCGCTGCTGCAGAGCGCTTTTCCTGGTGCTCGGATTTTGCTTTGCGTATTTCACGTAGTGAAATATCTTCGAATGTCTCGAAAGGCACTAAAAGCAGAGGTTGGCCCAAGATACGAAAAAAGCAGACACAAGAAGTAAAAAAGCAAAGCATGGTGGTGTCACGGAATGAGGCCAAGCAGTTGGTGCAGGGAACGTTGCTTCCAGTAATTACGCTGAGTAATGTTGCAAGAGTGCTAAAGTCTACATACAGCTACGAGTCCGCCTACGATTTTTTTATCCAAGCTCGCCGTGAAGATTATGGGGCCAAGAAAACAAGCCATTGCAAAAGTGATCACACCCGACGAGATTCTGAGCTCTGTCAAGTTTGTGCTCACTGAAAATTTACGAGGAAGTGTAAACGGGAGCTGGATACGTATCAGAAATCATTAGCAGGTGCGGATTCATCAATTGGTGTTCGTATCCCGAAAGTCGGGGTACTCAGCGAAGAACAACTTCGCGTAATGACGGATTACCATGCAACCATGAAATCATTGGTTGCTGTTTCTGGTACGATGGTGTGGATGGCCGCTACGTCGTTGAACAGACTCGATGTTCCAAAAGGGCCGAGCGAGTACGCGTAACTAGACAAACTGAGGGCTGCAGTTGTGCTACAGCAAGTTGTGTTACCGATATCACGTAAAACACCGTTCGGAATGGTTTCCAACGAATGGGTGTTTCGGTATCGTGAAGATATATGGCTCAATGACGACTGTGTAATGGTCGGTACGGCGACGCTCCAAGACGGATACGGACCTATTGGAGTCATTTCGCCCGGTGTCAGCAGGACCAAATGCCCTGAAACCAGACAGAAGATCATCAGCGGAGCACATCCGTTTCAGAAGGGCAACACGCACGTGTGTGGTGTAGTGATTTCTCCGTAGTTGCGGATAAATCACCCGTCGACAAAGACGTGACACCGCCCAAGATATTCAAGCAACGAACCCTCGGTCATGTGATGTACGGAGACGCCAAGGTGCAAGGGACTCGACGGCGTCACTCCCGAGCTTTCAACGAGTATTGGATACGGCCATATGTCACTGAATCCAGGCTGTCCTTATTATTAATAATGGACTGGCCGGATTCGCATTCAGCGGACCATCTACGGTACGAACCCTCAGTGGCGGTTGGGATGAGTTCGCGGAAGACTCAGCGACCCTTGGAAGGCACGTTCACCGTCTGGGACAGGGCGCGGACCGTTAAAGATGCTCATGCGACGGTGCAGACGACGCTTGGCATGCAAGAAGATCCATAACGGATCATTGTTCACTTGATGTTTGTATATTTGATTAGGACTTCTTATTAGGAATAGACCCGAAAGGGTAAGCTTAAATACAGAACAGAATTTCCACTCAAGCACACAGAGCGACGTCCGGCTTCAAGGTAAGCGTCAGGTCAAGCTTGTTTGAGTGTGTTATGCCTGTCGGTGAACTCGAAGCTCTGTAGTGAGGGTTCATCCGGCAAGGCCAAGAGACTTTGTGTATTGGCCGATTATTATCGGGAGGTTTTACGTGACGGCTTATTGTTGCCTATTTGCACGACTGGGAGTGCTAGAATTGCCTCCCTTTTATTCTTCCAACCAAGTGTTGAACACTCGGTGATCTCGTAAAAGGCTTACCCGTGCCTGGTACCCTTCCGCTGTTGGGACCACGAGGATTCAAAACACCTGCTAGCTTTGTTCGTGCTAGTAGCGTGTTCTTATTTTTACTGGTTGGCCTATATAAGTAGTTTACAAGGTCCAGTTTGTCCCGGTGCAAGGGCAGAACTGGGGTCTTCAGGTCCGCCCGAACGATCGTTTACTATCCTAGTAGACGTATTGTTGTGGGAACATCCTAACTACATTTGTAGCTAGAGTTCACGTGGGAATTTCAACACCACAACTGGTGCCGCGACACGGGAACAGATTGTGACCATTGTGAACTGTTTGTATGGCCTTCCAGCTTACGAGCTACCAAGAGAAGAAGAACAAGAAAAAGAAAACAAGAAACATGGCGAAAGGACAGCCGACGGTACCAGTTACGCCTGCCAAGTCTGGCGGGGCTCGCAACGAGAGTTCAAGCCCGACGGCGCGTTTTGCAGCCGCCACCGAGCTTTCAGTGAGCTTCGACGACGAAGCGGACATCGGTCCTGACGCCTACGATTATGGATATTACGAAGAGAAGACGCCGGCTCCAGAGCCAGGCGCAGCGACGCCGGATACGGCCACGCTATCATCGGGGCTGAGCGGGGCGACCAGGTCCCTTTCGAGGAACCTCGCCAACGAGCTCGATGATGTTGCGGGACCGGAACCGGCCTACGAAGATTATGACGATGGGACCAAGGGCTCTAAACCTTCGGCGGCGGCTGCAAAGCATTCAGCACTGCTGAAGGCACCTCGCCCACCTATCAACGGTGATACACCAGCCGCCAAGCGCGTTTTCGACCGCGTACAAGCGCTGATGCAGAATGATCAGTGGATGCAGCTGTTCAAGCCCATCCCCAAGAGAAAGGCCGACTGGCCTGCGCTTGCGCAGGAACTTCAATACCCAGTCAGCTCGGTTTCGACTAGCCAAGTTGCCGAGGATTCAGTTTCGCTACTGTTGTCGTTGGACTTCGAGAACGAGACGTACCCATCGACGATGTCGCTCCAAGATTGGAGTCCACATGAAGCCGGAGCTGCTCTCCAGAAATGGAAGAAGACGCTTCGGAAGGCGTTTGGCGCTGTTGGCATCAACGCTGGAAAGCAGCCTGTGAGTCTAACGATCGTTCAAGATGAAGATCCATCCACGATTCCACTGCCGCCGACACCCCCAACGACTCGTTCGTACTCCTCCGACCAAGCGTGGAGCTGAGCGTGGTGCCTTTGGCACTACCGAAGCTTCACCGTACTTTCAAGACTCGCACATGGTTACGCCACGTTCGAAAAGCCGTATGCAGCGTCTTTACGCGGGCAACGAGGGTTCGTTCGGTCGCCGAGGTGGTCCGCGAGCTGCCAAAGGTGGTGCCGGACGTCGTCAAGTCGACAGCGATGGTTCGTCCAGTGACGGTACATTTTGGTGCGTACATTCGACGAGGAAGATCCTCAAGTCGAGTTGATGCGTCATATGAATGAGCTGGCGACGCTGAACGACGCGGACCCGACACCGAGGATTGAAATGGCGTCACACCGACCATTGGATCGCATCACGCCGTTCTCAGGCTCTCGCA